CCCTTATCCGGCGCAGGGGTCGGGGCAAGCCGCGGGGGCCCGAACTGGGCAGCCGCCGCCGCCCCTCGGCAGCGCCCTCCTGCCGGCGTGAGGCGTTAGAGACCGCAGATCTGGCACTGCCAGACCGGCGCACGTTGAAACTGCTAGGCCTTTAAAAACAATTGTAACCCATATTATTTCTTTTTTGTTGTTATCGCTGGCATCCGTGTCTCAGCCTTTCGCTAAAGCGATGTGGGCAGCTGCCCTGCCCGTCTCGGGCCGGAAACGAACAGCAAAGCCACGGCTCCGGCTGCCGCACAACGCGGGGCTGCTGCAGCCGCGGCTCCCAGGAAAAGCGCCGGGTGCTGTGGTGAATTGGCCGTGGACGACGAAACCCCCTGTTCGGGGGCCTGTTGTGCGCTCCTGGTGCCTGTCCTGGCAGCAGGGCGAGACCGTCCGGGACCTGCGAAGGGGTTTTGGTTCAGCACATCACGCTGAAGCAGAGTACCTCTGTTTCATCTACTCTCACATGCTCTCTTCGGAGAGAGCACCAGGGTCTCCTCTGCTGAGGTTGCACTGTTCCTTTTAAAAACATTTCATCTTCTCTCCCTGAAGTGCTCTGCTGCATTTTTGCAACTTAACGGTGTTCTTTGAATGTAATGGTTCAACAGTGAAGGCAGCCATGGCAACTTCTACCTCTTCATATCCGTGGTGAGGGCAGATTTCCCTTTTGCCCATCTGACATTTGGCCAAGTAAGGAGAATGCATATAAAACCTGCCCCTCAAATGGCTTCTGGAGGAGCAGAAGTAGTAATCCAGGAAATATAACATGAAGTACCATTTGGGTTTGCTAGTCAGTTAACCCTCTGCTAAGCTCTGCTCTCTTAAACAGTAACAGATTTTCAGGTTCTTGCAGATCAGGCTTCCATTTCGGGCAGAAATTAATTGTGAGAATCTGGTGTTTCATGAATGCAGTTTAAGCTAGATGTTTTTTTAAATGAATGGTAACAAGTAGAAGGAAAGTTAGACTAAGTTCTTTTGCAGTTACCATCTCTAATGACTCTGTTTCTCCTAAGTAATGGAAAGATGCATAGCCTAAAAGTAATTCCTGGGAGCTTACTTCTAAGCTGCTTCTTTATGCAAAAAGCAGCACCACTTTAACTTAATAGTAAAAAATGTTTGCATCCTCCATTTATTGTAGCATAACGATATGATTCATTCTCTGCCCGAGAAGGTGGAAACTCCTTGGTAAGGGAAGAGAAGGTTAAGCCGTTCAGCCTTCTTAATGGCTCGTGATCTGACTGTTTTCTAATTGCATAGCTAACTAATTTGTTTTCCATACATCAGAGTTCAATACTGCAATCATGTTTCCTGAAGTGGCACCATTGTAATTGTGGTCGTTCTTAAATTATTTAAGTGAGGGAAAACTTGTAATCATTGTTTACAGTATTTCTTCACATCTGTAACTCAAGCACAGGCACTTTGTATTTTATGCAACTGCCAGTGGATAGTGAGCAGAAAAAAAAAAAAAAAAAAAAAGATATTTGATAGCAACCAGATGCTTTAATACATAGGGGCCATCTGAAATGGCACACTGCAGAACACAGTTATGTAGGAATGTTTTTTTAGAAATACCAATACAAAACCTCATTTCAGAGGTTTCATCCTTTTCTAAAGCATAGGCCAGTCTCTGCTTTTCATCCTGGACGTTAAAACTCTGAAAGACATTGGGATCACTTGATAACATAGCTGCTGAAGGATGGAATTTAAATGCCCTTTCCTGTGTAGCTTCCATTCGATTTCTTCAGAACAAAGCTGCTTAATGAATTCAGTGTATCAGTCAAGGCCTCACCACCTGACTCTCACTCCCCAGAGGCCTGGCTGTTCCCTGCAGAATTACACAGCACAGGCCACCTGCCTGGGAGTCAAATCAAGGAGAGCATCTCAGCAGGCTTTCTGCCCCGCAGCAAAGGTATATCATGCCAGAAACTCCTTCAGAAGCCACCTTCCTCCTTGTAGCTGTTTTTGGCTTTTGTGTAGTTTGAAGGCTGGATCCACCCTACATACTCTATAGTCTCTTGAAGGCAACATTTGATCTTCAGCACCCATGCTCATATGAAGTCCAGAAGTGCCTATTTTTCTTGCTACATCTTCTCCATGACCTATCGGGACCTGCTCATGGATACTCCTGGGCTTTGCACAGAGATGCCTGACTTCTTTTGCATCTGCAAAATTGGCAGAACTAATGCTAGTGAGTTTACCCTTGGCTTTCTGGGCATTACCAGAGTATCTTCTGGATCAGCTTCTTTTCCCTACCCTTGCAGAGCTCTCATCAAGGAGAGTGAGACCTGTTTCCATTTTTTTTCCCATATCTGAGGCAGTGCTACACCTAGGAGCTGGTTGTTCAGGAACAGAAGGGAACATTCAGTGTTTCTGGAGAAAATGGCTTGCTTTTGCACAGAATAATTAAATATGCATTTGTCAGTAGGGGGAAAGACTTGTTCAGCTGGGAGGGAAAAGCTATGGGTAGCCTCTGCCCCATAGACTGCCTTGTGAGGAATATGTAGATGTGGTTAGAGCAGACACTGGAAGGCAGGCTGTATTTTTCTGAAATGACATGCTTTAGCCACTTCCCTGTAGTGGCAGGCAAGGCACGTACTGCTGTGTTGAACATCCTCACCTGTGGTTGGGCAGTGCAAGTTCAGACCCATAGAACTGCTTTTAAAAACCCCGTCACTGTGATAAAGCTTCACTGGATGTAGCTGAATGAGGGTAAGTAGGGTGCTGTGGTGACATGGGCTACTAGGACTGAACAGCTTCTGGTATTTTTTGCAGGTTTGGATACCTGGCCTGTGCTGGCTGTGCAGCATTGACCAGCCCTGGGCGACGACCTACTGGACCCTCAATGCTTGCATGACACTGACTTGAGTGGAAGATGGGCATGCAGCTAACTCCCTCCAAGGGTTGGGGACAAGTGCTTTTTTATCCTTATTCACTCTGATATTGAGCTGTTTATGACATTTCAAAAGGTTTTCGGGGATTAATTTCCTTCAAGGGGCTGTTGTTTTCCCTCGGTGCTTTGATAGGTGGAAGTAAACATGGTTTTGTCTGCAAGTAGCTTGAGGGAGAGTTGTTCTTACAATGTAAGAGCAGAGGCTGGTTTTAAAACGGTCTCCCATTAGATGTGAACTGGAAAAATCCTGCTACACTGGGGAGTATCGCTCAAACTGTAGACCTGTGATGTGCTAAACACAGTTCAAGCATTCGGTGTGCATGGAATCAAATGCAGCTCGTTTTCATTTGTAGGATGCTTTGCATCAGCTGTATCCCCTCACTTGGAGAAAAGGTAATTGAATTTGCAAAGCATCCTCTTTCCTTTCATCATACAAAACAGGGCTTCCTCTTTCTAGGGTGGACTGAGTCCATTCTGTACAGTCTCAATCATTTTCAAGGCAGTATCCAAAACTGAAACGCAGGGTGCCAGGATATAGTCAACACACAGTATGACCCCAGCTGCACAGTATCATCATGCTGTGTTTTCCCACGGTGAAGGAGGAACGGGGAGAGGGGTTTGGATCCACTTCTTAGGTGGAGAGTGTAGCCAACGTCTCTGAGAAGGGAGTCAATTTAGATGCTAAAATCTGATACCTTATGTTCAGTTTTTAACTTAAGTAAAAGTAGGTTCTTAGCCTTAGTGTAATCACGTCATCAGAATTACACAGAACACTGATTGTTCCTTTCCCATATTAAAATATTGATCTTCTGCTGTATACAGTTGGGAAAAGGAAGGATTTCACCAGTGCCCAGTCTTCCTCTGACAGACAGTTCAATGCCAGGTAGCTGGAAGAGAGGTATAACCTTTAATTTAGATGCAATAGTTTCCATTTAAATTCCAGCATATAACTTAAAGATTTCTGGCTCTTGTCGAGTGGCTGACTGGCGGTTGCCAGTCAGGTGTGCACCGAATTCTTCATTAGCCAGAAATCTGTTTCCCAGCTGGAGGCAATGGGGCAGCTTGGGGGCTGCTCAGAGCATTGTCAGCCCCGGGGAACTGAATCAGAAGGCGGGAAACGAGTGCAAGAAGCTTCCAGCAGATGTCTCTGCCATGCAGCATTGCTTCCTCAGGCTGCTTTCCGTGTTTGACAGATACCTGCAGATTCATATAAAGCATATTAACCTTTTGCAATCGTTATCCAAATTCTTGTAAAGGCATAAGTCATGAAAATGGTGCCTCATTTTTCATTACAGTTTGTTTAATTGCCTTAACATAGCCATTTCACTGAACCCTCATGAAATTTGAGGTTAACAATGAAATTACTATTTCCCCTTTCATGAATACAGTTGCAGTGATAACAGTATAACATAACCCTGTAGATGTCCAGGAAAAACAGGCTGGAAGACGAATAAGATTTTCACAGGTCTCTCTCCCACTTCTCTACCTGAATTTCAGTTGGTCTGCATGCTGATACAGCTTGCTGTGGTGTGAAAGAAAGAAAAAAAAAAAAAAAAAAAGCTACCTTTTATTAAAGAGACAAGCCAGGTTTGGCGCTTAACGGTCTGGTAACTGAGGTTTCTCTTCCTGCTTCACCAAAGTGCCATTTTGGGTAGGTGTTGCAAGGCCAACAGCTGAGCGACAGCTGTGAGACTGGCTGAATTCTCCCCAGCCACAGTAACTGGGGTTAGTGGGGCTGAATCATGTCTTGGCTTGGACTCGTGTTGATGTCTGGAGCACATCATCCACCTTCTGCTCAGCTGGGGTGTCTTGTGTGGAAGCAGGGAGAATGCAGAAGCTCTGAGGGTGATAGGAAAACTGGCTGCTTGTACCACTGTCACCAGACACCAAGGTGCTGCACAGTGCAACCTAGAGCACAAGGAAGAGGATATGACTGAGAGTCTCATCATCTGCAGGAATCATGATAGTGATGATGATAATGAACAAGAGTCCC